TTTGTAGAATCTGTATGTTACTAGGGAACACAAGGCCCAGAGGCAAGACTACCTTGTGGCGAGCAGAGCAAGGCACGGTGACTGATTCTTATAACAGGGTCTTAGTTTTATAACGTGGGGGGTCTAAGTTTTATAACAGGGTCTTAGTTTTATAACGTGGGGGGTCTTAGTTTTATAACAGGGTCTTAGTTTTATAACGTGGGGGGTCTTAGTTTTATAACAGGGTCTTAGTTTTATAACGTGGGGGGTCTTAGTTTTATAACAGGGTCTTAGTTTTATAACGTGGGGGGTCTTAGTTTTATAACAGGGTCTTAGTTTTATTATGTGGGGGGTCTTAGTTTTATAACAGGGTCTTAGTTTTATAACGTGGGGGGTCTTAGTTTTATAACAGGGTCTTAGTTTTATAACGTGGGGGGTCTTAGTTTTATAACAGGGTCTTAGTTTTATAACGTGGGGGGTCTTAGTTTTATAACAGGGTCTTAGTTTTATAACGTGGGGGGTCTTAGTTTTATAACAGGGTCTTAGTTTTATAACGTGGGGGGTCTTAGTTTTATAACAGGGTCTTAGTTTTATAACGTGGGGGGTCTTAGTTTTATAACAGGGTCTTAGTTTTATAACATGGGGGGTCTTAGTTTTATAACAGGGTCTTAGTTTTATAACGTAGGGGGTCTTAGTTTTATAACAGGGTCTTAGTTTTATAACGTGGGGGGTCTTAGTTTTATAACAGGGTCTTAGTTTTATTACGTGGGGGGTCTTAGTTTTATAACAGGGTCTTAGTTTTATAACGTGGGGGGTCTTAGTTTTATAACGTGGGGGGTCTTAGTTTTATAACAGGGTCTTAGTTTTATAACGTGGGGGGTCTTAGTTTTATAACAGGGTCTTAGTTTTATAATGTGGGGGGTCTTAGTTTTATAACAGGGTCTTAGTTTTATTACGTGGGGGGTCTTAGTTTTATAACAGGGTCTTAGTTTTATAACGTGGGGGGTCTTAGTTTTATAACAGGGTCTTAGTTTTATAACGTGGGGGGTCTTAGTTTTATAACAGGGTCTTAGTTTTATAACGTGGGGGGTCTTAGTTTTATAACAGGGTCTTAGTTTTATAACGTGGGGGGTCTTAGTTTTATAACAGGGTCTTAGTTTTATTACATGGGGGGTCTTAGTTTTATAACAGGGTCTTAGTTTTATAACGTGGGGGGTCTTAGTTTTGTAGGTCTTAGGTCTTAGGTCTTTGTTTTGTAGACACCCGATTAGAACCAATAATCAATGAAATTCTAAATAGAATATTATTTGAAAAGTATGGTTAATTACATTGTAGTTACACTTGTAAGAGGCCACGCTGACATGAGGAATAGGAAAACAATTAGTCAACGAAGTCATGTTTGGGTTATCAATCAATTTTGTAGAACAAAAGCATATTCGTGCTTGTATTATCAGTCCACTTCACAGTCCAAGACCCCATATTCAGTCAAGAAGTCGCCCATTCACATGCTATATTATAAATGCTAAATGAATCATATTTAGCCCTGTTTTACTGAGATTACGCGCAAGACTGTAGCGCAATCATAATCAATTACAAATTATTGACGAATACAGTCTATCGAGACAGCTCCCTAGAGAGCTTCCATCACTGGTAAACAAAATACAATACCATACATTATGAATAATAAAGGACGCATGTCCCCTAAGCTCACACAGTGAACTGTGCCAAAATGTGACTTTTCGATGTCAAAATCAGCAAATTGAAAACCATTAAAAGGACTCGGAAAGTGGTCATGACAGATCAAAACTAGAACAATACTTGAACAAAAGGGCACATGACATGAATAAAATCACACCACAAAGTATAGGCTATGGGCTTAGGCCATCAATTTGCGGTATGGAAGGGATATACGGGGACCATATCAGTAACATTAGACTACATCCTAAAACACATTTCTCATTCCACTATGGCCATAATTAGTAAAAAATTCAGGTTCGGAGAAAAATTCATATTTATACCACTTAATTTGGGGATAATTTGGACCACAAAACTTGGGGATACATTGAAAATGACTAACTTTACAAATACATCATCGATAACCCTAATTTTTTGGACTTTAATATATTTAAATTATGAAGACTTGGGAAAATCCAGACAGAGGAATCCAAACAAGATACATATTACATAGATGATACAGAGTGTTACATTGTTACATTGTATTGTGTTATTTCAAATATTTAATTCTGTTGATTGTCGATGTTGTATGGTTGCTATAGCAACGTTAACAATATTATATCTGCCCTTTAAATCACAGAATTCAAATATCTATCTAAAATTACACCAGAGAGAAATAATCATTGATGATTGTGACCAATGCTTATAATTGAGTAACAACGCCTCATGCCAATTTTTATAATGAACATGATGAAGGGAAGGGAAGTTACTCGACTATAATGTTTGAGGGTACGTGATGTTGTCACAACTTTGATGGAAAATGGATAGATGCTGTTGTCTTAAATAAATTATCTTTACTACAAAGCATCTTATATGAATGTATCCCTCAAAAAGAATGCAAATTGACATTTTCAAACAGATAGATGGCGTTTCCATAGCAAAACATCTTATATGAATGTATCCCTAAAAAATGCAAATTGACATTTTCGAACGGACAAATGGCGTTTCCATAGCAACGATGTGATACAATTTAATATTAATATAAGACACTCAAAATGCATACATTGTAGAGCCTGTAAAAAAGTTTGTTAGTAAAGAAATTGTAAAAAATGACACAACCCGGCCCTATTACAGTAGTCAATGGATCTGGTGGTGGTACGAAAGTATGTAATAGTACGTACGACCCATTACGAATATCAGCTGCAGGTTTAATTTGTAGCACCAATGTTGACGGCCGATGGTCGATCCCATATGCCAAATACCAATTACTCTTGCTTTCAAGTCTCTGCTACCCCTATCCACTTCACCTCTTATGAGGGTGAAGTGTTAGATAGGTGGAGGGGTCAGTGAGTCACAAGGGCTCGATGCAAGACTTACATTTATATGCTATTCAGTACGTGTATCCACAAGCTATGCGGTTGTTTTTCTCTATTCCCAATTCGACCGCATCTGAAGGTGACTTTCCCCCTTGCAATTATTATCCCGATAGTTGTTGCTCATCAGGGGAAACATTTCTTGCTCGTAATAAGAAGAAATCAATTCGATTGTTTTTAGAATTCTATGGGTCTGCTTTGGGACAGTCATAAATGGGACTGCACGATATACAACAATTAAGGTTAGAATTTTGTTGAACATAACAATGTACGACAGCTTGATAAGGATATGGCTACCTTTTTCAACAGTCTCATATTATGCATCTCTCATTTTTCATTTTCTTTAAAAGACGCTCTTTGAATAAGATTTAGAGCTAATTCTTTAATCTAACATGTCTAACGTAACCTAATAATTAGATCAGGTCGAACATAATACAACGACATAATCAGAGTAACAATCACATGGAGTAGTGTGGCTTCATAAGTAACCAGTCCATTTATTTAGCATATTTAAACCACCATGAAAAACTATAGCAGCTTTTTGGGTCATTAACATCTGATGGGATCAAAACTGTCTAATCTTTTGTCAGACAGGGGTGTAGCCAGCTTTCAGTCAGGGGGGGGGGGGGGGGGGTGCGATAAGCCAGAAAATTAAGATTTATCTTGAATTTTACAAAAATCTTCCGTCTTTCTTCTTCAGTTCAAGCATGGGCTTTGTTTCAACTAGAATCTAATTGAAAGCCCATGGTTCAAGGTAAGCTAAGAATATGGTTAATAAAAGATCCCAAAATCCGCAACTTACTATGATGCATAACGTTAGTCACAAGCTGGGTTGTAAATTAGAGGCAGATGTGCTGCCTGTCTGATCCTCATAACAGGGTATTGCTGTTTTATTAAAAAGGAAATTGATCTCTAGAAGACGACGCGAGCGTTTTTTGATCCTTATTAAATATTACTGCAAGCAGCCAGACGTGTTGACTCATCCAAGGTATTATTCGAGAGAAAGGCAATGAACAGTGTGACAATAACTCCGGTTGTTTAAGTATGCCCATATTTGGCGAGATTTGGCGAGGGAAATGTAAATAAGCGAGGAAAATTGAGGCTAAAAAAGGAGTTACATTTCTACATTCGGACTTTTCTCGTTGAAAACGTCTTAATGATTATTTTCCGAAAAGTTTTGACGAGGCAGTTGTTAATTCATTATTGCCTACTGGTTACGCCCATGATTCAAATTTCAAACATTTTATGGCCATGGAACTCATGGGTTTCGATGGGACTTCACTCCATGGGACCTCATTGGACATAGTGCCCCTCCGTGTGACTTTTTACCTCACCATATCCCATGGGAACAATGACAATCATTTCATTTTTAACACTTTGGCGGGACTGTATGGACTTCGGTGTGAATCTTTTATGACAAGGTCCCATCGTTCAAGATTCTTTATCTTCGGATACCATCCTTCAACTATGTATTATGTTAATAGTAAGCTTACACTGAATAACGTCATTTCGAAGGGCAATATGCCCAAGGTCAAGTATTTCACTATATTGCCCGCAGAAATGACGTTATCAGTAATATTACCACCGTTTAATTAATGCCCAGGGCTGAATTAGCAAAACTTCTACGCATTGAACGATATCTCATTTCCCGGGTAAAATTGCCGGGCGTTAATGCATTATTTGCCCGCCACTATGGCCTGCCATTGTGGCGTCACATATTGCTCAGGTCGATATAGTAAAATAAATGCCCTAAACTCGCACTAATACCCCTAGAACAGGCCCGGCAAGGTGGTAATTAATAAGTTTTCTTCAAGTAAACTGTTTACCTGAAGAAGATTTAGAAATAAATCGAAAATGTGTAATCTCAAACAATTTGTTTGTTTTAATTTTCAGCTAAAACTCTATATTTCAACTCATATTTCTACTTTTAATATTATAAAAGTTATTTTATCGCATTTTTCTACTTTTTTTCAGGAAAGGCATTCATGACAACCACTGTGGTGTCGGGCAAAGTGATAAATTGTCAGCCGTCGGGGAACGGATTCTTCCCATCTCAAACGTGGATCTGTTCAAACATAACGTAATATTTTAACATTATTAATTAAATTCTTACATGAAGGAGTTTCTAATTACAGTGAATAAATCGTGTTATTCAATAAAATATAGAAGTTCAATAAATCATGTCTCTGTATAAATGCAATTCTGGGAATCGTGTTACATCCATTCTCTAATGCAGAGAGATTCAATGTTGCCATCTATTGGTAGACGTCAGATGATGGGTTAATTAATCAAGTTTAATGCGAACATAAATAATTTAATCTTTGATTTTCAATAGTTCGAGGATTTATAATTATACATCTTGGGATAAACTGAGAAGGTTTTTAACAATCATGTTTCAGGATAGATAGGGGGAAGAGACTGGTATATGGTTATTTGGAGGGATTGAGTCGTGACAAAGAATGTGGAGACATTCCCGATACTGGGGAAAATGACCTCAGTGCACTATGTGTTGAGTTGTTAAAAAAGCATGGAGAGGAGCGACCTCTATGGGCAGCATATGTAAGTATACCGTTTAGCGGGTGAACAGACTTTCTAGACATATATGTCAAATGAGAATGATAAACGCATGTCAACAATCTATTCTTTTAACATCTGTTCTGTATTTTGTTTCAATGTCATACTTTTCAAAAGTCCGATTGTATTTTCTTTGTTGGACTGAGGACTCCTTCACGTTGTCACGTGGCGTTTAATTTACTCTTTTCATGATAAAGTATACCAGTAGGCTAGCGTAGCACCCTGGCGTAGCACACCTGGAGTAGCAAGCGTCAACAAATTAAATGTTTCACTCTATCTTCTGAAACTGGTTCTAAAGCTAAAATGTCCTGCTATTTTTGTTATTTTAGGTGTCTAAAGCGTCGTGTAGAAGCACAAATCAGGAAAGAATGATATTTAGTAAACAAAGAGGAGGCCGTCATGCCTGGAACTATAAACGAGCTGGTAAAGGGTATGTGGAGACGCTACAGTGCATGATACTCCCCAGCTAGTTTGTCTACAGTACATAGTGCTTATACCATCAAGTATTCATGCTGTGTATTAATATGAGAAAAATATGGGACCAATTCTTGCCAACAACATGTCTTCACAGTGACATTTTGACATGTGTTTTATTACTGATTGGCTTCAGTTATCTCAACTCAGAATGAATGGTGAAGGATCATTACACGTATACTGGGCTATTCTGTGTTATGGATTGCATGTCGAAATAGCTGCAGCAAATACTTTAGTACTTTACTTGCTAAGAAACAATGTTAGAAAGATTCAGGAACATTACCTGATGATTTATGCAAAGATGTTTTTCACTGTTCGAAAATGGGTTGATTGTCGTGATACTCAAATGGGTAACATACACAATGGTTGGTAACCTGGTAACCGGCAGAAAAGGGTATACCTCGTTTTTTTGCATTTTGAACTTAGTTGGAAAATCAGTATTTATCAAAAATCTAAATGTAAAATATTTCCCCAAGTATTTGAAACTTAGACATTTGTTCACGTTAGTGAAACAACAGTGAAATAGCGATTATCCTGCCCGCTGCAATACAAACGTAAAAGTAATCACATCTGAGAGTTTAATATATAGATCTGTATTTAGTGATACTCCACCATAATGAACTATGAGTAAAATCGAATAGAAAGGAATGGGATATTAAACTTGCACGCCATCCTGGCATAAAATGTTGAATTACCATAGTTTTGATATCTTGTGTAATTTTTAAGATGGGTATTACATGTATTACCTGAATACGTTTTAGTAGTCACAAAAACATCTTTGATTTAAATTGTATGTGACATGAGGAGTGGTTAGTATGTACAATTCAAAGGGATCTCGTGTGTGTACTGCCGATCAGCTGGACACTAGAAAGACCTTGTTTCAATATGGAGGCACTTCCACCATAATAATCAAATTCTGGCGGTGGATGTACATCCACGTTGAAGCAAGCTGAAGATTCCTTGCCTCAGTATAGATCCCCAGCGATGTATATTTTTATACTGATTACAATAAACGCAATTGCAAATATATAGGTTAGTTCTGAATTTATCTACATAATCCAACAATCGAGTTTTCAAACCAGGTGCAAAACATTTCATCAGTTCAGAGAAGAGGCATCGGTCGGTATCAGGAAAGGGTAACAACGCTTTCTCTTTCAAAATGGCGGACAGTAAAAGTTTTCATCGAAATAAACTACTTCGTGTGGTCATTCTGCTTTGGCATTCCGGACACACCAATCAGAAAATTCACAGAATGATAAATCCACGTGTGAACGTCAAGTTCCAACGATATCTTCTACAACTGACACAATAACTGATTTGCAGTGATACGGTACCGTGGTAGTACTAATTATGTGATTTGTTGGATCGGTATTCGACAATAATATACAAGAATTTATAAGATTGCAGTACCTTTGTCATGAAAGCTTGGACAGTTAATGTGGTCGTCGAAATTCCAAAAGCGAGTAGCCAAGGCAAATTAATTCGTTGTAAACTTAAAATATCCGGCAAATTGACACTTTAAGTCCACCATTTTGAGAGAATGTAGATCGTAGTTTATGTTGATTTTGACCAGTGGGTGGAGACTAGTAAAACATTTTCAAAATATCAGATAATCGAAGAATCAACTCACAAAAAGTCACTTTTTGTCATGTACACGCAAATTCGAATGCCTAGTGTAGGGTTTTGCTGCCATCTTTTCTATAAATCCAAATACTGTACTTTCTAAATTATTTTCCAAAACTAACTTTTTAGCTTCCGCTGCCATCTTTATATAAATATGTAAATAGTTTTTTAAATTGAGATTACAATTATTCTCCAAATATACAGTTAGTATCATTCCCCGTTTGAGTTAGTATGCAAAAATGCAATTTAAGCAAGAATCATCCTAAGCGACGAAATCATTTTTCTCACCATCTTGGATCCTTAACATTCTGCAATGGACCAATTATTCATGTTATTATGGCTTCTTACATAGCTCGAGTGGGTGCGACGAGACAACGGCGTCATTCAAAGTTTTATTAAGTTCCGACAGTATGTCCGTACACCCCTTTCCAAGGTTATGGTAACAGAAAGACACCTTTCAGATCACGTGTTATTTGGCGATTTTGATAATTTAATTTCGAACAATTGTAGATAAATTCTGGTTCCAAATTAATGGAAAGTGGTGCTTGTTTTGTATTGTAAATATGAACCTTCATTGAACATGTTAAAAACGCCTCCAACAGAGATGTTATTGTGAGTGATTATTACACAGACATAAAGGTTGGTAACTTATCTTTTAAAACATGTAATTCTCTGATCAATGAATCAATATATTATTACATGGTGGCACCTGTTTTATTAAATTCAACACTGCAATAACATAAATAATTGTAAGAATTAATGTTACAATTTCATAAACCTACTAGTACTAGATCGATCCTCTTTGAATTAAACACAATGGAATTTGCATACTGTTTGTGTCTAAACCACAAAAAATATTAATTTCTTTTTAAAAGCACTTGTGATTGCTTAATTTTCAGAAGATAAAACACGTTTGCAAACTGTATTTATAACTGTATTGTAACACAATGATCATTTTCATAATTGTCTAAAACATACAATAATTCAACCTCAATAAATTAATACAATATAAAATGCTAATTTTTACAATAACTGTACATACGAGCAATAAGTTAGAAAGAATACTACATTACTAGTAGTACAAGTTATAAATGTAACAAGTATCAGTCTCACTATTTGACATCAATCATAAAAACATTTATTATAACTTGATAAAAGATCATTGACAGTCACTTGGACATGTTGGATGAATCATTTCTTGTCAGCTTCATAACTGCTAGCTACTAGTATTCCACAATTTGTGACTTAAAAATTGTCAACAATAGCTGAGAAGTGGATTCTGTAAATTAAGTGCCGACAGTCAATCACTTTTAACTACATGAACTATGTCCTCATATGTGTGACATGTGTTTTGATAGCACACTCCAATTAACAATTAATAATGACTTCATTATATTTTCATATTCTATAAATTAATATTTCTCTTTTATTTAGCTTTTGTCAAAGACATATGGTACAGTGATGTAACATATGGAACAGGTGTTGAATGGCACATGCGAAGAAATGTATGTACATGTATATATGCACGAATCAATGATTCACGAATGACTACCTATTAGAAAGAAGGGGAGGGGGACCTACAGGCAATATGCCCTGGACCCTTCACTGGTTTTCATAACAAAGCAAGTAGGCAGGAAACGATTAAGACGAGGCAATATTTCAAGAATCGGATTTTTAAATCTGATTCTATATTTAAATAACATAAATTATTATCTTTAAAAGATTTAAATAAGCATAACTTATACAAGACATTCATATATATACACAAAAATACATAATTTACAGTCAGTTTCATAATTTCAGCAATTTGTCTCTTCATCTTTCTTTTTAAATTTTCTTGCACTTTTTCTTGTGTCAGTTGACTCTGAGGTCGCCGGAGATTTGGTGGATGCAGCCTCCACGCGAGGTGAATGAGGGGTTTCTGGTCGTTGCTGGAGCTGGTGTTGCTCCCCTTGTTGCTGTTGGCGTCTCATGTGACGCTGACTCTGACGTATCTGCATGCGCATACTGCGCCTCTCTTGTACTTGCTTTAAAACCGACTTTTCTGGTCCTGGCATTGCCAATAGCAGCTTTTGCCAAAACCATTTGCTGTGCTCCCTAAGCACGACGTTACCTTTCAGAAGAAGCTTCATATCCTCGTCAAAATTCCTCATTGATATATCATTACGTAATATGAGGATTGCTGAGTTTGAAGTGTCTCCCAATACATTTTTGAAGGCTTCTTTGAACTCCTCACAGCACCACTCATTTTTTATAAAATGATTTGAAATAACAAGAATTGTCCTCTGACTTGCCTCTACTAGGCTTCTTACCTTAATGTCTGTGTTATAATCACTCACGATAACATCTCTGTTATGAACACACATCTTATATTTTTTGGCAAGAGAATATTCCGTATTGCGCTTAAATATTCCCCTTTCGGAGGTATTGGGACGAGGATTCTCTAGCTGGGGAATGACGTCATTAATCACCCAATTCTCGTCCTTGGCGGTGTAATACACAAACCCATCGAACTTTCTGTCACTTACAGGATCATCTGTTCTGAAGCGCATCCCTGTGTTATAGAACACAACCGCCTCAAGATCACTGCGGAATTTGACACATAATATTACAAGCACAAGTCCTATCATAAGTATAACAGCCATTGCTATGCCAGTTTGTATCTCTCGATTATGTAACATATTCACGTCTTCAACGTCTTCCGATGTTGCTTTACTTGGTAAACCGTCCTTCGCATTTTGAACAGTAGCAGGTGTATAAACTGTTCCTATTTTAGAACCACGAGTGGAATGTGACACTATCTTATAACAAGCAAACTTTTCAAATGGAGCAAGGATGATGGGGAAATGTTTATTTCTGTAGCTGCACGATATCTTTGATACGGAAGGAAATAGTCGCTTGTTTTTGAGAAACCATTTTTTCATCCACGTTCCACCCGAACACGGACAAAGAAATTGATTTCCTTTTAGAGATATCATTTTGAATCGTGATACATCCAATTCTACAACACTTTTATTTAGTAGGGCGATCTTGTTGTTTGATAAATCAAGAACATTCAAGGTATTCGCAACGCTCACTATTTTTTCCAATTCGATGTTTTCAATCTGGTTATCAGATAAAAGTAGCTTGGAAATGATATTGTCATTTTGTATATTCTCCACCGATAAACGCTTAATATTATTGTGTCTGGCATCAAAGAAGGTTGTATTAATGGGTAAAACAGGGAACTCTGTTAGCCCTTGGTTTCTACAATCGACAGTAACGTTTCTGCGAAACAACAGTCCGTCAGTAGTGTCCTGCAAACATCTGCATTTCGTTGGACAATAGTCCATTATGTAACACTCTGCATGTTCAAACAATGCAGATGTTGTAGCGTGCTCCTCATTCAAAACCATCGTGATTTTGTCTTTTCCCTCGATTGGCAAACATTTAGTTCCAACTAATGCTCTTGCAATAAAGTCATAGTTGGGAACCGATTCAATGTCGGCAGAGCCATTATATGTAATGTGAAGTTGAGATACTCTTATATCCATTACTTTAATGTTGGTAAGTGCTGACACAAATTGGGTGTCGAGTCCAACAGGATGTTGTTGTTCTATAACGAGCTCTCGCAGTGATGCCAGGGTTTCGCGGTTCATTGAATAGGCATCGATCGCATCAATAGCATTGCCCAAGAGTCTCATTGTTATAGTATTGTTAAGGACATGTTGGGGCATAGTTCTAAGATTACTTTTGTAACATTCCATTTCAACGCTGCCCTGGATATTGTCTTCTTTGATATGTCTGAGACATGTGCACAATGCTTGGCATGACCTATCTATACATTTTGGTATTTCCTCCATTTTACCACGCCACGTGTCGGGAGTGGAACATTCCATATTAAGTCCTGAGATATCAGCAGTTTGAAGGTCATCTGTCGCAGTCATCACTTGTTTGTAAATTCGGAAACTTTCACAAAAACACTTGAATGTATTACCGGTGAGATTTATGTGTTTGACCGTTTCCAAAGCTGAGATCAGAAATTCTGGTAATTCTGTAATTTCATTGAACTGTAAATGGAGATGTTGTATAGTTTTTGGCAATTTAGATATTGTCACGGTTTCAATGTTATTGTATGAAAGATCGACAATAATAGCCTCCTGGAGTTTTGAGATCCAATTCCCAGCCTCTTTTAAGTTATTATGACTTAGAAACAATTGTTCCAATCTTTCAGTATGTGAGAAAGTTTCATCATGTATTTCTTCTAATTTGTTTTTCTGAAGATACAATCCGATGAGATTTCTGCTGTCATAAAACGTATGTTCATCAATAATTTCTATACCATTACTAGATACATTGAAAATCTCCAGAGCTTCTAGCTCAGCTAACTGCCACTCCATCAACTCAGTTATTCTGTTATCGGACACATCTAGGTAACTGATACTAACAAGGTCCTCAAATGCGCTCTTAGTTGTAAACGTGACAGTCTTTCCACCGGAGTTTATGACCGCTTTAATGTCTGCGCCACTCAAACTTTTCAGCTCATTGCTTCGAAGGTTTAGTCTACGCAATCTTGATAATCCTTGAAAGGCATGCTCGGTTATAAATTTCACATAATTGTTGGAGATATCAAGCTCTTCTAGAAAACCCCTTTCGTCAGGAGAGAATGCCCCTGGCCACAACGCTTCTATGACATTATGACTCAAGTCGAGTTCTCTGAGGTGCTCCATGTTATGAAACAGGCCAGGGGGCAAACGTTTTATTTTATTCCAAGATAGATTAATTTTAGATATGTGAAGTAGTCCCATGAATGAGGAAGGTCTCAATGAAGTAATGTTATTGTTATCGATAGACAAAAACCTTAGACTGATCAACGGTAAGAATTCTCTGTTAAATGTCATGATGCGGTTACCATCAAGCCTTAGTTGAACAAGTGCGTGTAGTCCCGCAAATGCGTACCGTCCAATTGTTTGGATCTCGTTGTCGTTCAATTCAAGTTGTCTCAGATTGGTTAAATCAGCAAACATGTGGTTAGGAAGGACTTTGATGTGGTTCTTGGACAAATATAGTTCTTTAAGCAAGACTAACCCGGCCAGCGCATCTTCAGTGACTTCTTCAATCAAATTGTTTTCAAGGTGAAGTCTTTGCAGTCGACTATAACCGTGATTTCTTAGACCATTCAGTGTACTGAGGGTTAAGGTATTCAACCCATTAAAACTAAGGTCAAGACTTCGTATGTTTTTCATGCCACAAAAGGCGGAGTCTTCAATGGCAGTTACGTTATTGCCTGACAAGTTCAAATCTGTAAGCGTTTTTACTTCGCATACGTCCTCGTCACCTTCTAGTTTGGGCACGAGGCATTCCATCAGCCGTAATACCCTGAGTCCACTGACATGTTGTAGTAATAACCACAGGTAGTTATGGTCACCCTCGCCAGTTTCAGTACACGTCACAGTTAGATTTGTGGCGGACATGTTAAGTGACAGCCATCTCTGGAACTCTGGGTAGTTGTTTCCAACACGTACGATGCATTCTTTATTCTTGCAGTTAACATCTAGCGAGTAAACACCAGTCAATAATGCAGTTATAAACATTATATGCGAGACACCCATCATTGTGATTATCCTAATCCATATGGTGTTTTATTTTTGTTGTGTCTCGTCAGTAGCTAGTGTAGATGAATGATGTACGTGTGTCCTCGACGACCAAAGGTGTTCTAAAAAAACAATTTAATATCACTTTAATGTCTAACTTCTGTTTGAACAGACGTTGAAAATAAATCAGACAGGTCAACATAATAAGTATCGCATCACTTTGTCTACAAGTGTCTCTATCGATTAATGGCATTTAATTTTTTATTCTCACCTGGATTAGGTGATAATTATTTGTACTATTAGTTCTTCATTTCTCAGTATAAGAATAGTATATGGCTAAAAAGATGGAATGGAAAGAATCTCATGTGGTCTCATGAAGCACTTACCTTAGAACACTTTATACCAGTACGTCTTTTGGACCTGCAAGGGATTCCAAATGTATTAATTCATTCGAGTTTGTCTATATTAAAGGCACATCAAAGACAATCCAGAGTAACTTTTTGATCGTTTTCATATTTTTACACTCTCAATTCTTTGCTGCAACTTTAAATAAACTATACATGTGGATATATAAGCAGTTATGACACGAAATACAAAAACAAAATGTGCACCTGCACCTAATTAAATACAGAACGTTTTATAAACAGGTTCAAATGTTTCATCAATCGATCACGGTGTTAAACTTACCTTTCTTCAAGTTTAATATTAAAAGTCGGTAAACTCTTAGTTTCAATATGTCATCACTATCCAAACATATCTATCGGCAAATAAATGATACAGTCACGTGATACATAACTTGTAGAACCCAATAACGATAGCCGAACATTATTAATGAATCAAACCATATGTTACTGTAAATATATTCTATAATTAAGACACGCCCCTGTCAAAATCACACGTCCTGATGTTCATCGCAGAAAGCGTCTCTTTATTAAGGCCATTCAAAGTTTAATACATATTTAACGTCACCTCCCTTCTATGATCTAGGAAAATTTTTAGAAAACAAAATTCCAAGTGCCAATACAATGACTGCACTTGTGATGAATTTAAATGACAACAGAAACCTAAAATCATATTTAAAATCAACCTTATATCATATTATAGTTAAAGTTCCACACTGAAAACTACAAACTTCGATACTAGTTTTAAAGATTGCTTGTGAGTCAATTATGGTCTTTCGGGATTAATTCTCCTCTTCATAGTAGTTACTTTCCTGATTGAGTATAAAAGTAAGGATAACAATTATTATTAGGTTCCTGGAAGAGGGGGACAGTAATCACGGGTTCATTATATCAAACATCACATGGCACACATCCTCTTAAAGTTAAAAAGTAGCTCAATCTCCCTATTGTCTTCATCAAAAGATTTACGTGAACTCAATGGGTGTGTCACGTAACGATCGCTTTTTTAAATATGTTTGCTACTGAATAATATAAAATCCTGATAGAAATACAATGGATAACTAAAGGTTTTGATTTGTTTTGTTTTTTCAACTCCAATCCTCAAAAGAATTTGCCCTTCGTTAAACACATAATTAGTTGGAATGGCCTAACTGTAAAGTTATTATCAGACGTAAAACTAATCTGTCACATATTACCATCGTAAGTCACAATTCGTACCTTTAACATTTTTTAGCCATACTTCATTTATACGTTATCAGTTTATTAAAGAACTTTATGTACAGTATGCATTACTCATATTTATAATAATACTGTAACTGCCAGGGTGTTGTTATTAAAAGACCCCAAAGCCGATTTTATTGAAACATTAAAGGTGCTCATAGTATTTAATCGGTCATCACTTTTCTGCCGTCTTGATAAATTTAAGATCATAGCACACCTCCATTTCTGAAGATTCGATTTCCGAGTTTACTGTTGGACCCTCAGTTTCATTTTAAAAGATGAACATTTTTTTTCAAATAACATATTTGCCACTTCGGATTCTATGGAGAATGGCGGAGGCCAAATGCTCTGAATGATGATTGTGAGATTAAACATTTCTTGATCGGAATATGGCACACGGACTATTTGTCATGAGTATAGCCTAATTTATTGCTCTAGCTCAGTTTATCAGCTTATACACTGTATCCCACAAGATATAAAACTTGCTCAATTTTGAGCAAGACGGTGTCTCGCTGATCTATTTAAGTTGTGTTTGGTATTGTGTTTGGTTTGAATAGAGTAAGCGTGACCAGAGTGAATCGGGTAGATAAGGCAATGATATGGCTATATTGCACATTGCAAAACAATTTATGTACATCATGTGTACAGATATAGGGGATGTTTACAGAACTTACACACACTGACATATATCATTTGCAAGGAGAAAATACATACATATGTTTACCAGTCTACTATACCTCGTCCCTAGAAATGCATAAGATTCTGTTTGTCTAATTGTATTGTTTAGTATATTTTTGAATGGACCTTGTTAACATCTAACAGTCATCCTATAAACCATTCATAAGCAGCAGACACATAAAAACAAATGACATAATCATTACTGCAGCCAAATGGGTTGCTCATGAACACCAAATGCAAGGTATAATGGTTTAGCACCTTACACATAAATCACTCATTGTGCAATATGCCTCCCTATCTTAGATGGCTATAGTGGAAAGGTCTATAAAATAATATATCCGATTTTTTTTCAATAATTAAACAATTTGTATATAAACTACAGTAACACTATATTTTGGCTGTACTTGTAGGCTAGTCTAGTCATAATACGAGATTTGAAATGTTTAGAGAAAGAGGGAGCCATACTAGTCTCTATAGGTAGTTCATGATTGACTGCATTTTTTCAAAAATACCATTCCTTGCATCAAGGATGACAGTCCATGATGGATTCCCATGTTTTTTATGGTATAAAGGTAATTGTGCATATCAAAAATCAGAAAGAGTTTGATTGTTTGTTAAAATATATGATATCGTGACACACGTTTGTGATAAAAATTGTTGTGGGAATTCTACCAACTCGTGAAATAAGGAAAAAAGAAAAAATGTACCTTCGAGGTTCCGACATTTTGTCACAGAAACGGATCTGTTTCGGTAACTAGTTTATAGAGTGCAGTACCAGTAATATTGCATAAGTTTAAGAGCAATATCAATATGCTTAACACAGTTAGCCGATTCTTAAACTTAATATAAAGGTAGTATTCAAATCAGACACAATAGCTTATAATGTTGGTGTGCCTTTTATGGCAAAAATAGCGCGATCTGTATCGTAGTATTTCAATGACTTAAGACACTAAACTCGGGCTCATATGATTGATTGTCCGAAGACCATATAGCGCATGAGTGAAGCACACTAGATAGGAATTTGTTTTTAAGGTTTCCAAAGTTGATCCGTTTAACATGTCATAGTCATAGTCATTTGATATAGCTAGTAGTTAGTATTTTGCTTTCAGTCACCCTAAAGTATGAAACTGATTGAAAGAGTCTAGCCCATTGAACTGGAATGGACAGGAAAAATAGAATACCGTGGGAAAAGTCCGATTGATACTTTTTAATTTCTTAGACATGTTAGAAACATCACTTAACCCCCCCCCCCAAACAAAGGAGTTTAAGAATTCTAAAATGCTTCCCGAGGTGAGAGGGTGAGAGAAATAATCTTCAAATAAAGAACTTAGGGTTTATTTATAGCTTACTTCTATGAGGTTAGTACAATCATGGGCTTTCTTAAAACCTATAAAAAATAGAAAAAATGTTTCCGATTGGACTCTGGAGACTGAGTCCCACGACTTTTCTTCTTTTGGACGTCATTTTGTGTTAGGCCTCCTAAGCTTACATGGCGAAGACTTCTAGGCCTTATATTATAGAAGTTCTATTGCTCGAAAAATATGTGACAAGTTTGAGAATTAGTTTACTATTACAGCATTTAAATTACTGATAATATATACCTTTGAAATAAAAGATACGGTTTGTTTAACTTTGTTAGGAAGCCTTTGATGTAAATCTCAATCTTGCATAGATCTTGATCTAATTTTGCTATATAAGGCTAAATGGGCTTAGCCTGTAACTTAGCCACAAACTAAAATAGCGTTTACTGACCTGGTGTCCTTCAACAAATCAGCGATTATACAACGTGATTGGCGTGTTTCAATGAAATAGAAATTTACCCTTACAAGAAGATACTACCGACACCTACCATGGGTCCTTGATTCCGGTCCTCTCTGTAAGTGTAGAGATAGATAAAACTGCTACTATAGTACACATGTATTTTGGCACGCTCATGATGATGCGCTAATATCACGAACGTTTAATACAGTGCAATAGCGAACGTAGACGCGTTCATGTATTTCCTCCGCCAGATGAGGCTCTATGGGTATCCTATGCCTATCCACTGGCGGATTAGGGGGGGGGGCCTGGGGGCCCGGGCCCCCCCCCCTTGGGTGGGCCCAGAAAAAAAAAATTGGGCCCAAAAATTTTTTTGGGCCAAACAAGGCCTTCAGGCCCCAAAAAGTGGGCCTTTTTGGTCATTACTGGGCCTTTTAAGGCCTTATTTTTTAATTTCAGGCCAAATTTTGAAGAAAATGGGCATCAAAATTTCAAAATCTGGGCCCACTTTAGGATTTTAGGGGCCCAAAATTTTTTTCCGCGCAAGCGCGGACCTTTTTTTCTCTGACCTGAAATTTGGGCCCCCCCCCTTGTTGGTTCCTGGATCCGCCCCTGCTATCCCCCGTCCTATCCACGGTCTATCAAAATAAAAAAGTCAGGTTATTCAAACTATTGAATATGGATCAAAAAGTGGAGTCCTTTTGATTTTCCTATTTTGTTTTGTCATTCATCCGTCTATCTTTTCATCCCAAGTTATTCATGCCATTGTAAGCTATAGGCTGCATTGTTAGTCCAGACATGAATAACTCTCAGTATCACCCCGGGTGATCAATATCCTGAGTTTAGACTTTCGTTCCAGCAAGTGAGTGCACTGAGTTGTCCTAAGTTGTGTTTTGAGTATATGGTACAAAGGTTCATGTGCAATATGGCAAGTGATTTTAGACAGACGGTCAGTCATATCTTTCACCATGAGTACTTTCTGGGCATAAGGCGTGGTTTTAATTAAAACGATCTTTTTCCTTTCAAGTGAAGTACCCATAATGATGAAAATATCAATCAAACGATTAGAAAAATTATGAATAGGAGCCCCATGTCAACATTTTTTTCAAAATGTTGAATCTATTTACTCAAAAGAGGATCTTCTTTTTCTGATTTTTATTGCATGAAAAGATTATTTAACAAAGGGTATAAAGCTTCTTCAAAAGTAACTTTAACGCATTTCAATACCCATCCCCTTTTAAGAAATTGTTAATATATTGTAGAAGAAACTTTCAATATGTTTAAACTGAGAAAAACAAGATCCTCTTTTGAGAAAATAAGCCTAACATTTTTTAAAAAGTGCTAAGATGGGGTCCTAATCCATAATTTTTCAGAGAATTGGATTGATTTTTTAGTATCATGGGGACTTCACTTGAAAGAAAACACACTGTACGGCCAGAAAGTACTCATGGTGAAAGATATGACCGTCTAAAACCATTTGCCATATTGCACATGGACCTTTATTTAAAAAAATACACTCAGTAAGCTTACATATTGGTATTGAGATTCAAGCTTGCGGACATGAGGGGACTAATATAAGCCCCCCTCAGATATCTCCTAAAAATTGGGGCTATATTTTGATCCTTTAATTGCTCAGAACGCGTTAAATAAGCCTAAAAATTAAATGTTATAAATCATATATTTTGATCCTAGAATCGCCCAGAACACGCCAAATAAGCCTAAATTTTTCTTTAAATACGTAAATCATATATTTTGATCCTCGAATTGCTCAGAACGCACTAAATCAGGCCAAAAATCTTAAATTTTTCAGGGGAACATGCCCCTGATTTCTTTTATCTAATCATATATTTTGATCCTAGAATCGCTCAGAACGTGTCAAATAAGCCTAAAAATTCAACTTTTTCGAAATATGTAAGTCATATATTTTGATCCCAGAATCGCTCAGAACACAGTTAAATCAGCCCAAACTCCTAAATTTTCCGGGGGAGCATGCTAGCTACGGTCCCTCACAAGCTATTAATTTTGTTCCGTCTAGATTAACTAGTCATTTTAAGGGCATCTAGGGCATCTAGGGCAGTTTTCAAAATGGGCCCTAATTTTCTTTGCGCAAGCGCGGAAATTATTGGGTCCCCTCTCTTGTTTTCGTGGCCACACCTGGTGTTTTGTGACACCCATGTGATCACAATGCGAAGTTGGTTAAGCATGAAAACAGTTTTGTTTGTTGATGGGGGCGGGGTCCGCCCTAACCAAAACCTGGCTACGGGCATGTCATATTGTACACGAATGCCATGATTTGTATATCTTTGATAGCTTAATTGTGTTGGCTAATAAAATAAATAATTAAATAATTCCCCTTGTTACGTATCCGATGGATATCTCGAATGTCCTTTCAAATTACAAAATCGTTCAAACAAATTCTCATAAATCTATTTGCCAGCTTATATATTTTAAAATAATCATAAAAAGTCATAGTTCACTTACTCGTAAATTCAAATACATACTGCACATGTACAGAGTATATCTTGTCATTGAAGCGCTAATATTTATTAGACATGGTTAAGTAACGCAGTTCAGTAATTTCGGTAAAAACATCGGGTAACCACTGTGGGATCCACAACTATCTATAGCTACTACCCTTGGAATACACAGCATTAGGCATAATTTTAGGTAAGAGCCCGGGTAAAACAGAGGGGATCTGCTAAATCAGAATGTTGGGTAGCCCAAAGTGTACCCTGCGCGCAGAGTCTAGTTATAAACTAGACGAAGCTCTCTTTCGGCTGTCGGCTACCGGATTAGCCTACTATTTTATACTCATTTACATATAAATGCAATAGTGGCAGCTAGTTACTTTTCACATTTAATTGAGTTGCTGCTGCAGACTAAACATGCATGGCATCTGAAGTATTTGAATTAGAGGTAATCCTTTACATGTAGTTAAGCCCCATAATAAAGTTTAAACCACTTTGGCTTATGTTGTAGTCTTACCCTTTATCAAAATGTGATGTCCGTCCCGATATCTTTTTTTTATTTCAAAAAATTGTTTTTGTAGGACGACTTTTTATTTGAATTTTTTTGAAAAAATGGATAATTTACAGACAACGGCCGCATATGGTAAATTATTTAAAATTCAGATTCCCTTGCCATAGACGATATCGAAGACGCTATATTGTGGGGATTCACGACCCAATTTGATCGAAGTTGGGATTTCATTTGCTGAGCTTATCAATACATGCACAAAATTAGCGACGATTTTAAAGTCCCATGAAACGAGGACCAAGTGATTGAAGAATTAAAGCGACGGTTATGTTCGCCATTTGAATAGCATCACCAGTGGTTGGATTTCGGTACGTACATGAATGAAAAAGTGTATATGGACCAACTCTAACACAGTGGCGTAGCCAGGATTTGGTGACCGGGGGTTCTATTTTTATGTTATTCATAAATCCCCCTAACTACCCCATTGGATTATGTATTAAAGCATCTTTAAGTTTGAATTCTTATTTGCATAATTTGTAAAGAAAAAACTATTGTGGGAGGGGAAATATAAATCATTTCAATACCTACATTAAAGGCAAAATCTGATCTATAGGGGGTGATAAAATTACAAGCAACATGTATAATTGACCTACCAATCTATTCCTTACAATATCAAATACAATATCTCCCAAAAGATTCACAACATGTTATAAATTGGTGAAGTTATGAATGATCCAAAGTGCAAAAATGAGTGAAAATGTTTAAATTCTCCCAAATAATAAGAAGGTAACCATTCTTAATGAAAAAAGTCTGGACGTAAAAATGATTTTCAAAAATGACCTCGTAGCTTTGCAACTTTAATGTTCACAAAGTAAAATAAACAGGCAACGTGCAAAAAAGTCAGACAACTTATAATTAATTTTCTGCATCAAAATATACTTCGGGGAATCTCTTACTGAATACACATCCTGAAATCTGATTTGCCCCGAATCCACCATTATTTCGACTGATTTCTCGAAGACCCTGGAGCATGATTTGTTTCCAAGGAATATCAACTATTTCGCACAATTTTTTCTTTAACTTAAGCTACTTCATCTAGGACAAAATAAATCACCTCACATGCAATGGCTTATCATTATTTTCAGGAAATTTGTTGGAAGCCAGTTTGGATCAAATGCAAGGTTATTGAAATTGACGCAAACACCCTATACTCCGAAAGATCGTTCTTCTATGATAACTTTTCACAACGTTTACACGAAGGCTTTATAAACTATCCGGGATAGTCGTATTACTGATGAAAATATCTATTATTCAAATAAGTGGGTCTCGTTATGCTTTGTTTTAAAAAGTTAAAAATATTTCTTTGGACGTCATCGGAGCTCAGTGGTAAGTCCCCCAGAGCAGATCAACCGCAATTGATAATAAAAACGTTTTAGTGGATAAAATTATATATAAATACAAGCGACTGTTATTTTGTTAAGTTCAGACGGCTTGATAACAAATTAGGCCTTCATTATTTGAAGATTACATATAATTTTTCAATTTTTTTATTATATTATTTATTCGCTAAACATATCATGACATTAACATGAAAATGGAGAGCAAGTAAACTGGAACGATAACAATTTGAATTCTATACAATCTCTTAGATGAGTGGAGTGTATCTGAAAATACAAAATCATTTTTTGCAATGATTGATTTTTCTTTGGAAAGTGATGGGTAAATAAATACTGAACAAATGAAAGAATGAATGAATTTGAACAAATCCTTGTTTTTAAAAATGATATACGCTTCTAAATAATTCATTTCACAACGTTTTTAATTATTAATTGGTTTCGGGGGCTTGCCAGCCCCAGGGACGCCCCAAGAAATATTTTAAATTTTAATCGAAATAAAACAAAACAGAGATGTACACATTTGAAAGAACATGTGTTTCATCAATACTATTACGACTATTCCAGATATTTATTCGCCAATGTTGTAAAAATCATTCGGAGTATGGGACGTCTGCATTGTTTTCAATAACTTTCAATAACTTCGTATTGGACCAGAACTGGCTTACCCCCCTATCACACCAAACTAGTTCTTACCCGTTCTTGCCAGTCCTACGAAAACGTCGTAAAACGGGCTCAATCTGGCTTTGGTCGGGGAATATGTCTGAAATAATTAGCTTCTTCGTTCTTAAACAGTCGTCAATACTTCCATCTCGTTTGCAGTTCGTTCAGGTCGCACCACGTCGGAGTGCAACGTCGTAGAACGCGTCCCTTAGTCTAGAAGGTCAACATGTCCGCAGACAGTTCAACTCGTTGTTAAAACGTCCCAAGTAGGATTGAAGTACGACGGTTCCGTTCGTAGTACGTCCAGCTCGTCGTTTGTACGTTGTCACTCGTTCTAATTGTAGAACGTGACTACCACTAGAACATTTTGAGCATTGTCTAAGTTCTAGAGGACCTACCCGTCCGAGTACGTTCGATGAAGTTTGTAAATAGATCCCAAACGGTTCTTAGTAGGTCCAGTCCGTTCGTATACAGTTGAAGCCCGTTTTCGAGAACGCAGTGAGAACTAGTTTGGTGTGATAGTAGGGTTAAAACAAAATTCCTACAAAGGACTGATTTAGCCATTGCCAAGATGGGTTATTTTGTCCGAGATGAAGCATGCCAAACGTTTTGAGGGAAGTGTAACTTCACTATGACATGTTTTTAAGAAAATAATGCTCTCGTGTTCACCATCACAAATATCAATTCATTTACTGCTCATATATGTAGTTTTCAAATAGCACAGTAATTTAATGATTCTGGTTATATGCATTTTTCCGAAAAAATGATATTTTGGGAAATCCTGACCGGGGGTTCGTTCGAACCCACCGAACCCCCGCTGGCTACGGCTATGTAACACATGATTTGATGAGATAGAGGTGCATTTTTGACCTTTTTGACCTGCCTCCATCTCTCAAAATCAGAGTGACAATTTTTGACATTTTCTATAGATGGCGTATTCAACAATGGGATTCAACAGGTGAGATAAGAGGAGGGAAATACTACACCATGCTTCGATGTGATGTTTAATTGATAAGGGCATATTCCATAGGCGTACATCTGTCTTCATCTAGCTTGATGTGCATAACAAGCTATGATATTGGTTAACACACCAGAAATTAACATACTATCAATTCGAAGCGTACTTCGAAAATTCGTCATTTGTTTGTTGACTTTTCTATACCCTGCGTGCAGAGTCTAGTTGAAGCTCTCTTTTAAGAAGTGAAGTCAAACGAATGCAAAGGGTAACTTTTCTATGTCATGCATCTCAAATTCAATACAGGTTTACATTAGAAGCGTAAGCCTATGTCATCTTTGTGTTATTCCCCCTCTGAGGTGAGATCTTTTGAATTAATAGGTAAAACCACTTCGAAATTTCAAGAGAACTGCTTTTTACCTATAATAGCAAAACTTTTTTTTTATTTGTGCATTCTATCTATCAGATAAGAGTCGGGCGTATGTACTACGAGCAAATTCATTTTGGGTAGGAACACTCTGTTTAGTTTGAAAACGTACCCTTTATTATTATCATATCAGCACTGTAGAAGCTTAGATAGGGTTAGAGTACCCTTTGCATTCGTTTGACTTCACTTCTTAAAAGAGAACTTCGTCTTCTGTAGTTTAACTAGCCTCCGCACGCAGGATGATAGGGTTAACTAGATAGGCCTTACTCACTTCGAGAGCCATGTTAGATTTTGAAACTTATGGCTCTCAAACGGAGAAGTGAACAGCTGATCAATAGTGACCTTTGAAATTGAATTAAGTCGATCCGCGGCTTACTTTTGGTCTCTAACTGTGTCTTACATCAGTATCATCAATCCGTGTAAGTATTGGAGCGCTGGAGTACTTCTTTTTCGATCAAGACTTGTAAATTGTTCATCGAGTTAAAGTTTTACAGACCTATTTCCAATATGGCGGTTTGCTAGGTGCGAGATACGCAACGAACGAAATGAATTTTGAGAATTAGTTAGGTTCGGACAACCTCCGGAGATTTACGAAAATGTCCGAGCAGAAACCGCCATATTGGAATTTGGCAGTAAAACGATTCCCTCGACTAACAATTACAAGTCTTGATCGAAAAAGAAGTACTCCAGCGCTCCAATACTTACACAGATTGATGATACTGATGTAAGACACAGTTAGAGACCAAAAGTAAGCCGCGGATCGACTTAATTCGATTTCAAAGGTCACGATAATTGAGCTGTCCAAATGCTCCGTGGGAAAGCTATTATATCAAAATCCAAATAGCTTTCGCAGGAAGTAAGATAGGCCTAGTCAGTTTTAATTTGTCACATCTTGGACCATGTGTCGTTATCCTGTTAAAACATACTTTGCTATCCATTGAGACATTTTTTTATTGATGAGAATGAGATGAACCTCTCCATGTAAAGAGGAACCTTAGAGGATACAAAATTGGTTCGTTTGAATTCTGGGGTATTCCCCCTCCTCGAAGATTTGAAAGTGTTGGTCACGTGATCCCCCATGTGATCTACAAGCTTGCAGACAACATGGCGGAAGTAGGAATTGGAAAATCGTCAACATTTTATTCTGATCAACCGCTCATACAGCTCAATGACAGCACAAAAACACAAACCAATGTTTCTTTGGGATCATTAGATTATGAATTTATCAACGCTGCAGATATTTTAGAGGCGGAACGGAATATACGACTACAAACACAAAAATTATGTGGATTTTTGAATAAATTTGAAAAAGGACTTGTCAACAAAAGTTTCAAAACAAGATGGTTTGCTTTTTCCTATAACTCTTGTAAGCTGGTATGTTACAATTCTCCAAATGATCTCGTTCCTATTGGCGACATTGACATCAGTAATGCTGTATTTAATCTGAATCCCCAGATGAATCTAGATAAACCTGGACTGTTTGACATCAGGTAAAAAAGCATATTGTTTCACTCAGGCTTACTTCCAATAGACCGAATATCTTGAGAATTCGGTCTATTGATCATCATGTCCCTCCTTTGAAAAAACCTTGTGCACAAAGCTATCAATTTTAGGAAGCTTTGCCTCCCAGAAATAAACATTACAACAATTCAATTTAGTGAGGTACAATTGAATGCTATAAAAGTAATATAACATGTTGTCAAATGGAAATAAAGCTAGGAGAAGTAACAAATATGCAAATTAATTTACTCCATCGGCTATTTGGAATCGCACTCCTTGTGTAAACAAATATTTTTCAATCCTAAATTTAAACAGTGAGTCTGAATAATTCCTTACAAATTTCAAAAGATTTTCAGACTAGAGAAGTCTACACTCTTTTTGTGGCTCTGCATTCTAACCCTTTACTTAGTACATTCAGATATTATTAAAATGTGCTGTCTTCATTTCATGCTTCAGAAACCTGTGCACTGTCTTAGTTTCTCTGTGAAACTATCTTGGTTTCCTAAGCGAGGGATTGTTCTGTAATTATCCAAACAATTACTTATGAATTTCTTAGGTATAACCATCTTTTGAAACCAGAACCTACACACCATACAGGCCAAATATATAGTTGAAATTTGAAGTGTGAAGATAATAAAATCAAGAAAAGAAATATTATTATCAATTGGAAGTCTGGCCATGCTAAAATGAAGACATCATGTCTTCATTTCCAGTTGATCCCCAGTGGAACAGATTCTTGCAATTGGCTTATGTTTTTTCAAACAAAGTAAATTGACAGTGAAATTTAAGGTTCAAATAATAATTGGAGTAATGATACAGTATGTCTCTATTGTAGAAAAATAATGAAAGTGGTATACTAAAAAAAATATTAAAAGATGACATTGATTTCAATTATTTTCTTAAAAGCAGATTCTTGAAATGTGAGGAAATTATCCTTGCAGTACACCAGAGAAGGTGTTCACATTGGAAGCTCGGGATGAAGAGACAGCACTATATTGGATACAAGAGCTTCAAACACAAAGGAGACTTTATGCAGAGAACAAGACTCTCACCCCACCACCAATTAGTACTCTAGAGGTATGTATATTACAGTATATACCTGAGAATCTTAGTTTTAGGTCAGTAGAAAGGGGATCTTGAGAGCATAATCTCTATGCTACCATATAATGCTCAGTCCTGGTTCAGGGGTATGTGCACCTTTGAGATGTATGTTAAGGAAGATCTGTGGATTGTTCCCCAAGAAATAATTTTATTTTAATACCATTATATAGTTTACAAATATCACGGGGGATAAGCAAAACGAGGGCGAAGCCACGGACTGCGACTCGCGTAACTTTACACCGCAGCCCAGCGCCAAAATGGAGGGACATCCTGCAGTGCCTTCTGCTTCTTCCGACAAAATAGAGAAATCCAGGTATTTTAAATGCTATCGTAGTGTCTAATCGGTGACCAAAATATTACTCTGTATCTACTGTTGGTCTGTAGATAAGAAAATAAGCAGTTGTCCAGATCAAGCTAAAACAGTAGCAAAGTTCTGATTTTACCTGTAAAATATGTGCATATTATTTAATTTACTATACATTTGAAAGGAGTTTTAACACGTTTCTGATATCTAAAGGTTAGTTGAGGCTCCGAGTATAATTCGTGAAAATGATTTGATAATAGAATGTGTTCATGAGGAGAAAATTAGATTCAAACTGCGCATTCATAGTGGACGCAGTCCAGTAAACAAAGCTATTTCAACAACGCAACACAGCCACCATTGATATTCTAAGTAACGCAGTCCAGCCGCGAACACGAAATAAATAAGATAGTGTAAACTATATTCCTACGCTATTATTGTTTCAGGAAAAGAAAAGTCAGCATCCAGATTATCATTCAAAGTTACGTTGATTAACATATATCTATTACCTGAATCAATGTCCCAAATTGCTATATTGTATCGTTTAAGACCTAGAAATATGGCAATTCAATAGCGTATTTGGCAGAACAGTCGAGCGCAAGATGACAACGTAATATGTTTATTACAAACCAATTTGTGGATAGGGTTAAATATATAGATAATTGGATAGTGGTGAGACTTTTTATAAGAAGTAGAAATGCGAAACAATTAACTTTTTGATGATGCAATAAAAGCTGTTGGGGAAGGGGTACATTAACTAGTATTTAAGATATCAGGAAAATATCAAATAATTGGAGAGTTGGTGAGTTAATGTAATTTTGGATGATCTTTCCAACAGTCCATCAATATTGCTAGCTACCATAAATTCATGATTTCAGCTGTATTTGACAGCTTGTATATATTTGCAGAATGGATTGAGACACGATGTAGGCCCTATTAAAATAGCCCTTGATATTCAATTTTGTCCAAAGTTGCTCCATTTCGGCCACACCTGTACACCCATTGTGCTATCTACCTTTGGCTGTGATTGCGTTCAGCTTCAGATATAAAGCAACACTGAGTCGCGGACTGTGTTGGGCAGATGGATGGACTGCGACTATTATAAATTCCAATTTTCTATGTAATTGTACGTTTTCCGCTTACCAAATATCACACGAAGATGTAATTGTAACAACAGAACATGAATAATTATATTAATTCGATGTCATTTCTGATTCCTTTGTTTAAATCGGTATATTAGGGACAAATATTGACAAAATTACATTTTTTGTGGCAGATTTCGAATTCATTTGTGTTCATGCTAAACTATTGGACAGCCGAGCACCAAGAATGTCATTGCAGGTGGAGTATGAATATGTTGATCACCGACTGGAACATACTAGCTATTCTGTAGAATATCCAAACCAATAATCTACCCCAAATCCTAACATGCCTTCCAAATTCAGTTTGGACTTACCGCCATTGTTCAGCTATAATGCGTTGTAACCTCGTTTTGAATTACGCGAGTCGCAGTCCGTGGCTTCGCCCTCGTTTTGCTTATCCCCCGTGAAATATGTATACCCAGTAATTTTAGATCATTTCTTCTCTTTTGGGGGTGGGGTGCATAATGGGCTGAGATTTACTTATAGACCAATATTTTTTAATGTTTCGATGAACTTCATTTCCATAGATTAATTTTAAGACCAGCTACTTATTTAGATTAGTGAACATTATTACTAGTCTAATCATTACTTAACCTATTCAAGATGTGTGTTAACATTTTTCTTTTATAAATCCATGGGCTCTACCACCTATACATGTCACGATATAGGGACAAAAAATATTGACATTTTAAAAGTACCGTTTTTTCGTTTTGTTATTATGAAAAGTAATTAAGGAACGTTGGCTACCTTGGCTGTTGAAACCTGGTGATATAATCATTATCTTTACGAAGAATAGATTATGTTTTATGCAGGCATTTTAAAACACGTTACTTTGCCTTTAAAACGTTCGTTCATTGTCAATGGATGATTTTTTATGTAGCCATTTCTAAAACACGTTACTTTGCCTTTAGAACGTTACCTTAATAGACTTTAAGTTTTCTCTAATAAGAGTGGATGCTTTTTATGTACGCATTCTTAAAACACGTTACTTTGCCTTAAAAACGTTACTTTAGTGGACTTTAACTGATCTCTACGAATGGATGATTTTTTATGTAGGCCATTTTCAAAACAAAGTACTTTGTCAGTAAAACGTTACTTTATTCGACTTTAACAATACTCCACGAAGAATGGATGAATTTTATGTAAGCATTTTCAAAACACGGTGCTTTGCCTTAAAAACGTTACTTTATTGGACTTTAACTTATCTCCACGAAGAATGGATGATTTTTATATGTAGGCAATTTCAAAACACAGTATTTTGACAGTAAAACGTTACTTCGATTTTAACCATACTCCACGAAGAATGGATGAATTTTATGTAAGCATTTTCAAACACGTTACTTTGCCTTAAAAACGTTACTTTATTGGACTTTAACTGATCTCCAAGAAGAATGGATGATTTTATATTAGGTATTTTCAAAACACAGTACTTTGTCAGTAAAACGTTACTTTATTCAACTTTAACCATACTCCACGAAGAACTGATGGCTTTTTATGCAGGCATTTTCAAAACACGGTACTTTGCCTTAAAAACGTTACTTTATTGGACTTAAACTTTTCTCCACGAAGAATGGATGAATTTTTGTGTAGTCTTTTCAAAACACAGTACTTTGTCAGTAAAACGTTACTTTATTCAACTTAAACCATACTCCACGAAGAATGGATGGCTTTTTATGCAGGCATTTTCAAAACACAGTACTTTGCCTTAAAAACGTTACTTTATTAGACTTTAACTTTTCTCCACGAAGAATGGATGAATTTTTGTGTAGTCTTTTCAAAACACGTTACTTTGCCTTAAAAACGTTACTTTATTGGACTTTAACTGATCTCCACGAAGAATGGATGATTTTATATTAGGCATTTTCAAAACACAGTACTTTGCCTTAAAAACGTTACTTTATTAGACTTTAACTTTTTTCCACGAAGAATGGATGAATTTTTGTGTAGTCTTTTCAAAACACGTTACTTTGCCTTAAAAACGTTACTTTATTGGACTTTAACTGATCTACACGAAGAATGGATGATTTTATATTAGGCATTTTCAAAACACAGTACTTTGTCAGTAAAACGTTACTTTATTCGACTTTAACCATACTCCACCAAGAATGGATGGTTTTTTATGTAGGGCCTTCTTAAAACATGTTACTTTGCCTTAAAAACGTTACTTTATTGGACTTTAACTGATCTCCACGAAGAATGGATGATTTTATATTAGGCATTTTCAAAACACAGTACTTTGTCAGTAAAACGTTACTTTATTCGACTTTAACCATACTCCACGAAGAATGGATGGTTTTTTATGTAGGGCCTTTTTAAAACACGTTACTTTGCCTTAAAATCGTTACTTTATTGGACTTTAACTGATCTCCACGAAGAATGAATAATTTTTTATGCAGGTATTTTCAAAACACGTTACTTTGCCTTAAAGCGTTACTTTATTGTACTTTAACTGATCTCCACGAAGAATGGATGATTTTTATGCACGCACTTTCAAAACACAGTACTTTGCCTTAAAAACTACTTTATTGGATTTTAACTTTTCTCCTCGAAGAATGGATGCTTTTTAGGTAGGCATTTTCAAAACACAGTACTTTGCCGATAAAACGTTACTTTCGTGGATTTAACTTTTCTCCTCGAATAATGGGTGATTTTTTATGTAGGCATTCTTAAAACACAGTACTTTGCCAGTAAAACGTTACTTTTAACTTTATTCCTTCAAGTGTCGAACATTTTAGCCTGGTGTTTTTAAAAAGCGTTACTTTGGCCGATTTCCGTAACTTTCTTGTACTCTTAGTTTTCCTCCACCGAGCGTTGGTGAAATTTAGGTAGGCATTTTCAAAAAGCGTTACTTTGGCCCTTTTCCGTTACTTTCTTGGACTTAAACTTTTTTGCCCGATTGAGTATTTTGAATGTAAAAAATAAGGAATCAAAGGACGATATTGAACAGTATTTTGTAAAAGTAGAAACAATTGTACGAGGCCTAACTTTTGTATATTTTGGTTTGTTTTGTAGTTAGCTATCATATGTGTGGCCTCTTATATTTCAATGCTTCTCTGCCATGACATTTTCGACACGAAAAATTAACATGGATGAAACTCAATAAATTACTGAATGCCAAACGTTTGCTGTAACTATCTGAAATACTAAAGTTAGGCCTTGTACATAGGTTTCTATTTCTCCAAATATTGTTGCAATATGGTCATTTGATTGCTTATTTTTGAAATTCAAAGTACTCAATAGATGATTTTGAATCGCATTTTGACGAACTTCAGTTTTGTCTCCGTCAGTCGATAAAAAGCAATCAAAAGACAACAGTGCAATATTAAATGGAAAAATACATTGATATTCTGATGCAAACGATTGTATTGTTTGTTAGCTCGTGTTTTGAATAATACAATGTGTATATAATTCTTGAAAACTAGTGATTTAGTTCGACGTTTATGAGATGTAGTTGAAGCGAACGACATCTTTATGAATTACTCATACTTATAGTCGGATTGAAAACTGTGTTTTATAAAGATGTCGCTCAGTAT